GCCGAGGTTTTTGGACAGTGTCACGAATAAAGTGATGCTCATTTGTCTATCCTAATAATTAAAAATCTTGTGTTGTCCGTAGCACGGCTACGAACGTGTTCTCACAACCTTATCACAACCTTATTATAGAGTGCCCTGGTGACGAGGTCGAGTTTTCTTTTAATACCAGCCATCGCAAACACGCCTCCCGTTAATGCCCCTCTCGTTTTCCTTCTTTTTTTTTTTTTTTGGTTACCACTCTTCGATTTGGCGCGCGGCACTCGAGGGGACGGCAAACGTATCACCTGTTCCCTCGTTTAAATCGGCAACGGTTTCGCTTTAACCCGGCTCCAGACCGCCTCGACGCCGTGCATCGATTAACGAACGAGTCTCGATGCGGTATTCCGCGTAAAATATTTCGAGCTCGAATTGAAAAGACGCGTTTCCCAGACGTATTTACATTCGCGAATCCATAGTTTATCGTCGGTACAGCGTAATGTTTATAAATTGTGAAATACTTGCCGATCGTTCCCGGTAGTTTGATGGATTTTAAAAGCTTTTCCCCGCACGCTTTCGAAACGACAAATGGCCACGAGCGATAGCAAACATTTTGATTTTCGTTTTAAAACCGTGGGCTCGCGGCTGTAGATGTAAATTGCTCTCCTGTTGGCAGTTTTGGGTCACCGCGCTAAAAATCGCTGGGAAAGCGTTAACATCGATGCGTCGAACCTCGAAGCGCGAGGAGGCGAACTTGGTATTCCCCGTTCCGTGTGAGCTACAACGTGTCAATGGAAAGAAGACTGGAGGCGTCTTGAATAGAATTTTGTACAGACACGTGCGAGTCACCGTTTCTGTGTGTGTGTGTGTGTGTATGCGTCAACGTCCTCGTCAGCGGCGAACGACAATTTTTTTTTTTTTACAGGTGTTTTCTTTAGCGCTTTGGATTTCTTTTGTTATTAGTATTCACAACCATAATACTTGCGATTGATAATGAATTGGGTAGATACGTCTACCGCGGGTTTAAGATACGCGAGACCTCGCTCGTCATCGTTGCTAAGAAAAAGGGAACGTCACGCCTCCTCCTCCAACAAAAACGTCCACCTTTCCTCCGCGTCTTTGAAATCGACTACTCGAGATCAGTGGCAATTATCATTCTTAAGATTTAAAAATTTGATGGGAGATTCCGGGGGCCAAAACAAGTCGAAAACCAAGAATAGTAATTTGTCGATTGAGGCTTCGTTTTAAAGTTATTAACAGTTGCGCCTGTAGGTAAGCTACCTGCGTAGATTGCGCAACTGTTAATAACTTTTTAAGGAGCCAAAAGGTGAGAAATTGTATTCTTGACTTTCGTCTTATTTTGGCCTCTAGAATCTCCCATCAAAATTTTTCCAAAGGTCGAGGCTCCGTTAAAAAGTTATTAGCAGTTGTGCCTCTAGATAGTCAACCTGCGTAGAGGCGTAACTGTTAATAACTTTTTAAGGAGCCAAGAGGTGAGAAATTGTATTCTTGATTTTCGTCTTATTTTGGCCTCTAGAATCCCCCATCAAAATTTTTCCAAAGGTCGAGGCTCCGTTAAAAAGTTATTAACAATTGCACCTCTACGCAAGTCACCTATCTACAGGCGCAACTGTTAATAACTTTTTAAGGAGCCAAAAGGTGAGAAATTGTATTCTTGATTTTCGTCTTCTTTTGGCCTCTAGAATCCCTCATCAAAATTTTTCCAAAGGTCAAGGCTCCGTTAAAAAGATATTAACAGTTGTACCTCTAGATAGTCAACTTGCGTAGAGGTGCAACTGTTAATAACTTTTTAACGAGCCAAAAGGTGAGAAATTGTATTCTTGATTTTCGTCTTATTTTGGCCTCTAGAATCCCCCATCAAAATTTTTCCGAAGGTCGAGGCTCCGTTAAAAAGATATTAACAGTTGCACCTCTACGCAAGTCACCTATCTACAGGCGCAACTGTTAATAACTTCTTAACGAGCCAAGAGGTGAGAAATTGTATTCTTGATTTTCGTCTTATTTTGGCCTCTAGAATCCCCCATTAAAATTTTTCCCAAGGTCGAGGCTCCGTTGAAAAGTTATTAACAGTTGCGCCTCTACGCAAGTTACCTATCTAGAGCCACAACTGTTAATAACTTTTTAACGAAGCCTCGACCTTGGGAAAAATTTTAATGGTGGATTCTAGAGGCCAAAATAAGACGAAAATAAAGAATAAAATTTCTCACCTTTTGGCTCGTTAAAAAGTTATTAACAGTTGCGCCTCTACGCAAGTCACCTATCTACAGGTGCAACTGTTAATAACTTCTTAACGAAGGCTCAATCGACAAATTACTATTCTTGGTTTTCGTCTTATTTTGGCCTCCAGACCCCCCCATTACAATTTTTCCCCCCGTTCCACACAAATCTATTGCTTCTGCCATTCCTTGCACGAATAAATTTACACAAAATGAAATAGTACACGCTCGAATTCATTTCGAGGAGAAACCTTCGACTCGTTTGGGGGGGTAGTAAGATTCGCAATTGGCTGTGACCGTGGATGGGGACGTTTCAGCGGCACTTTAACCAGATGATTCTTTGAAGGAACGAAGGTTGAACGTCGCGGAGGCAAGTAGTCGACTTCAAATAAAACGTTCTTTCAGAAGGGCTGCTCGAGAGAACGATCATCGGGTATCGGGAGGAGGGTAACCATTCCCATTGTTCCGCGAATAAATCCTCGCTCATTTTCTGCCATTAAAAGACGAGAGAGAATGTCGAAAGTGTGTATCCACCTATGGCACGAACTAAGGTACGATACAATACGTGCACATATCTAGGATACGTAAGTCTAACTTCTAAACGTCTTAACTTTGGTGTCTTGGTCGATTTCGTAGAAAATTCCTATCCGTAAACGTCAATTGCTCTGCTTGTATCGAGACGTGTGTTTTTTTCCTACGCGGAAACATAGCTCGATCGTTCCATGGACCAGCCTTCGAACAACTTTCAAACGTATCTATTTTACCGCCCCCTCCCGGAAATAATGAAACACCGACGGCCAATAGAGGGGAAGCTATAAATTCGATAGCGTATTTCCAATCGATTATCATTTTACGAGGAGCATTGGAAAATGGAACGATCGACTCGATTCCATGCACGAATCTCTGTACTCTCGTTTCCCCCGATGACGTTTGATCGAACCACCTTGATCGAAACGAAACAACGCGCTGTCGCGGGTGGAAACCGACGCAAGATTAGCCGAGAAAACAGAACGATACGGCCTTCATTTCCTAGAGGTTGGACCTATCTGCTTGTTTCCTCGGGTCACTTCGCAGGATTAATGGAACAACTTTAATGAAACGATCAACCGTTCGCGGTCGACGGACACCGTACGGACCTAAGAACAGTCCTGGACATTGCTTTTGAAACGATAATAGCTGCAAGTTATAGTATACAATATCAAAATACCCTAATAGAGTTCTCCACAATTTCCTTCGTTTTCTAGATATTTTTATTTAAATTTCGATATGTACGTAATAAAGGAATTATTTATATTTATTTTAGAGTTTATTTTTTGGGTAAGTTAGTAGAGAGATTGACTACGAATCTTTTGGTCGTAGGTTCGAATCCCCGCCAAGTTACTTTTTTTTTCTTGTCATTTTCAAATGCAAAAATATATTTTATTCACTATGTGTGTATGACATGAATATTAAAACAAAAAATCCTTCAATTTTTAACTCGAATGAATAATGTACAGAATAAATAAAAAATATTTTTGCATTTCGAAATAAAAAAAAAAAAGTAACTTTGCAGGGATTCGAACTCACTACCAAAAGATTCGTAGTCAATCTCTCTACCAACTTACCCCAAAAAAAGTCTCTAAAATAAATATAAATAATTCCTTTATTACGTACATATCAAACTTTAAATAAAAATTAAAAGGAAGCCCCATTTTGAAGAACCCTATTAGGGTTTTTTGATACTAAGTATGTAACTTGCATATGTAAGGTCCCCTTGTAAGTCAACGATACAGAAGCTTACGTTTACTGCTATTTAACCTCGACAATTCGAATGTAAAAATTACTTAAGCGCTTCGTGTCAGTGTTTATCGATACGTTACTATCTATTCTATAAAAAATTTGTACGGAACAAGTTTGAAAATGTAGTTTGCAACGGGTCTCAGCAGCTTAGATTTTAAATCCTATAAAAACCCACCGTGTTTCGTCGCCCTCGACACGTACAGACAGAATTGCGTTTTATTTATACAGGTCGGGATCGAGGGGGTGGAAGGGGGTTGGTAATTTAATAACGCGTCCGTCTACTCTACAGAGGGAAGCATCCCGTTGCCGTGTCCGTCGACCGAAACGGGCGTATATCTTTAACAAGTCGCGAATTCGTACCTAGTTTTCTCGTTATCGCGGCGAGAACTCAGCACCATTTAAATTCATCCAACATCCGCGCGATCGGCAGCTCGAATTCCATCGAGAAAAATACACCAACCCACCGAAAGAGATGCGCCTGACAGATACACGAAACATATTTTCAACGCCAAAGGCAATCAAATTCACCTCGTGGCAATTTCTAATAAAAAAATGCTAAATCCGGCGGGTGTGATTTGAATTTGGCGCCCTTTACAGTGGCGACCTCATGCAAAGAATTAAAGTTAACTTAGGAAGACCAGTTTTAAACTCCTGCTTCATTTTTGTCAACAATTTCTAACCAAACACTTATTTGCAGTGTACATTTCTCCACGTATCCATTAATTTCCTTGCAAAACAAATAAATATGATGTTAATTCTAGAGTTAAAGAGAGATTGTAGAGAGTCTCACGAACAAACAAAATGGCCACCAGTTTCAGTTACAGTTTTAAGATACCAAGCTAATGCTGTTTCCAGTTAACATTCTAAGTTTCTATGCATCTGTCAGACGCCAAGACAATTTCGACCATTGTTTCGTTGATTTCGATGGTTCCACCGCGTTGTGGGCCAAACCGTCCGTTCTCTCGACCCGGAGCGGCTCGTCGTTGCAAAGCAGAGAAAATTAGCGATCTTGGTGACCCGGTAGCCGTGTTTCATCGTCGTTTCTAAACAAAACGGCCACCGGTCGTGTTTCAGCGGATGCGCAGCAGCCTTCTGAAGGCCCTCCTGTAGTCGAGGTTGAAGATCGTGTAGATGAGCGGGTTCAGGGCGCTGTTCACGTAACCGAGCCACGTGATGAAGTAGACCATTCGATCGGAGGGACAGCAGGCCGGGCAGAATGGCACGATGACGTACATGAGGAAGAACGGTAGCCAACAGACGACGAAGACGCCCATGATAACGCCCAGCGTCCTCGCGGCCCGTCTCTCCTTCGACAGAGATATTCTCTGGCGTTCTTCGATGAACTGATACACGGTGGTCGTAGTGGCGGGCGCCTGTCCGCTGGCCAGCCTCCTGGAGGAGGTGGTGGCGTTCCCACCGATGGTCACCTCCGTGGGCTCGTCGTCTATCAGCGATGGCTTCGCGTGGACGCGTGGCGTCGATCTCTCGTTATGGTTCGTCTCGGAGCTGACTGACTCCTCCGCGTCGTCGGCCTCCCGATGCCTGGTGGACTGCACGGCCCCCAGTCTGCTCTGCCTGGCCCTCTCGCGGAGCCTCCTCCTCGTCGCGAGAAAAATCTCCAGGTAAACTAGGCTCATCAGCAACAGGGGTATGAAGAACGAACCGAGGGACGAGTAGATCACGTAGCCCTGCCTTCTGGTCAGCTGGCAGGGTGTACCAGGCTCCAGTTCCTCGGGCCAGTCGTTCCAACCAGCCAACGGGGGCGAGCTGATGGCACCCGAGAGGATCCAGACGCCCGCTATCGTCGCCAACACTCTCTTCAGTGTGCGTTTCTGCGCGTAATTGATGGGATCGGTGATGGCCCAGTAGCGATCCAGAGCTATGGCGCAGAGATTCAGAATGCTGGCGGTGCAGCAGAGCACGTCGCAGGTCAGCCACAGCTTGCACAGGTGTATCCCGAAGATCCACTTGCCCAGGAGGAGGTACGCCACGTTGAAAGGCATCACCAGGATCGCCACAGCGAGGTCAGCCACCGCCAGGGAGACGATGAAGAAGTTCTGAACGATCCTCAGCGGTCTGTAGGTGAACACGCTCAGGATCACCAACGCGTTTCCCAACACCGTCGCCAGAACGAGGAAACCCAGGGTCAGGGAGGCGGCTGCAGCTTCCCAGACCGGCAAGTTCGAGCCAGTCTCCTCCTCTGGTGGACCGCAACCTGTTACCTCGTAGTCCTCGGTCATTGTGCCGCCTGACTCGCCGCTGGAGTTCATGGTGTCGATTCCTGGGAACAATAGATGCTCGTTAGGTGGTTCCTGGATCACCTGGGGGACGAGGAAGGGTTCGATCGTGGCTGCTGGGGATTTAAAGAATTAGATAAACGACGATTTGTGAGGATGTAACGAACCCCTGACTCTGATTGAGGCGTTACTTCTTGTGCTCACCGCCAGAGGGCCACGCTCTTGACTCTCTCGCAAGCGATCGAGTGACCCTTTCGTTTCTATGTATAGTGATGAATCCCATTAGCTTCCTTTGGACTCTTTGCTTTGCATCGGGTGTGAATAAAAAAGCGTTTGAGGCGATGCGAAAAAGGGGGTCGAGTGGCTGTTTGGTTTTGAGGTTTTGGGTGAAGTGTGCCTTGGGGAAATTCTGTAAAAGTTAAGTGGGAGTTTTAGCCCGTAAGAAAGAACGGTGGTGTGCGTGTGTGATGGTTTAAGAATGCAACGTGGTCGAGGAAGGCTGGTTCGTTAGACTCGGCAGGGGGTTGGTCGTTCGAAAGGGTCGGTTGAAGATGGCCCGGAGAGCGGAAAACTAAACGGTAAGGAGGAGGGTGAAGATTAAACAGTAGAGAGTCGAGAGTCGAAAGTATAGGCAGAAGTAAAGAGTAGAAAGTAGAGGATAAACAGAGTAGACAGCTGACGGTAAACAGGAGGTAATAGTCCAGGGATGCTCAACTTAAACTTGCGATTATAATTGCCACAGTTTTGAAATATAAAAGAGACCTAAAAAAGACACAGACGAAGGGTTGAAGGCATCAAACAGTCGAGAGTCGAAAAGTAGACAGAAGTAAAGAGTAGAAAGCAGAGGATAACACAGTAGCTGACTGGATAGCTAAACAGGAGATAATAGTTCCCTAGGGGATGGCTCAACTCAAACTACAAAACGAAAAACGTAGAAAGAAGGGTAAGATTAAACTACAGACGAGGTACACGAGTAGACCTTTACAAAAATTACAGAAATTACAGAAATTTTATTGTTTTTTAACGGAATGAATTGACCAACAAATGATTAATTCCATTGAAATATAAAAAGAATTTTTTTTCTCGAAATTGAGTAGGATTTTTTGGATATCTCTATTGACCAAAAATGATTGCAATTGGCCCCTGCAACTAAGAATAATTTTTTTAGAACGATTTGAAATGATTTAATTTTGTCGAAAAATTGATCCACTTATCGAATTTTTTTCTCGAAATTGGTTAGGATTTAGAGGGTATGTCTATTCACCAAAAATGATTGTAATTGATCCCTAGAACCAAAAATAATTTTTTTAGAACGATTTGAAATTTTTGTTTTTTACCGAGAAATTGAGGCACCTATCCCTGTCGATTTTTCTTAAAAGTTCGTTTTCGATTTTTAGTAATTTAGTTTGACGCCCTATAGAAAAGTTGTCTAATACTTTTTCATAGGTACCCATGAGCTCTACTTCAGAAAAAAATTTCATCGAAATATATTCACTATTGTAGAAGTTATGGCTGTTTGAAAATTGGACCATTTTTATGGGCTCTCCCTCATTTTGCGATGTCAAGGATCAACTTTTTGATCATTTTTGGAATTTCTACATATTCTCCATCAAAATACGCGTTGTTTGCATTTTTAAACATTAAAATCGTCCAATCCGTTCAGAAGTTATGACGTTTTAAAGATTCGCATGAAAATTCGTGCAGACATTTCTGGCCAGAAACTATATTTTCGGTAAGGAATTTTTTTCTCGAAAGTGTGTAGGATTTCGGGGGTATGTCTATTGACCAAAAGTGATTGTACTTGACCCCTGAAACCGAAAATAATTTTTTTAGAACGAATTGGCATGTTTTAATTTCGTCGAAAAATTTATCCAATTATTGAATTTTTTTCTCGAAATTGGTTAGGATTTCGAGGGTATGTCTGTTCACCAAAAATGATTGTAATCAACCCCCGGAACCAAAAATAATTTTTTTAGAACGATTTGAAATTTTTTTTTTCTCGTCGAAAAATTTAGGCACCCTATCCCTGTCGATTTTTCTTAAAACTTTGTTTTTCATTTTTAATAAATTTGTTTGACATTCTACAGAAAAGTTGTGTAATACTTTTTTGTAGGTACCCATGAGGTCTACTTCAGAAAAAAATTTCATCGAAATATATTCACTATTGTAGAAGTTATGGCTGATTGAAAATTGGACCATTTTTACGGGCTCTCCCTCATTTTGCGATGTCAAGGATCAACTTTTTGATCATTTTTGGAATTTCTACATATTCTCCATCAAAATACGCGTTGTTTGCATTTTTAAACATTAAAATCGTCCAATCCGTTCAGAAGTTATGACGTTTTAAAGATTCGCATGAAAATTCGAGCAGACATTTCTGGCCAGAAACTATATTTTCGGTAAGGAATTTTTTTCTCGAAAGTGTGTAGGATTTCGGGGGTATGTCTATTGACCAAAAGTGATTGTACTTGACCACTGAAACCGAAAATAATTTTTTTAGAACGAATTGACATGTTTTAATTTCGTCGAAAAATTTATCCAATTATTGAATTTTTTTCTCGAAATTGGTTAGGATTTCGAGGGTATGTCTGTTCACCAAAAATGATTGTAATCAACCCCCGGAACCAAAAATAATTTTTTTAGAACGATTTGAAATTTTTTTTTTCTCGTCGAAAAATTTAGGACCTATCCCTGTCGATTTTTCTTAAAACTTTGTTTTTCATTTTTAATAAATTTGTTTGACATTCTACAGAAAAGTTGTGTAATACTTTTTTGTAGGTACCCATGAGGTCTACTTCAGAAAAAAATTTCATCGAAATATATTCACTATTGTAGAAGTTATGGCTGATTGAAAATTGGACCATTTTTACGGGCTCTCCCTCATTTTGCGATGTCAAGGATCAACTTTTTGATCATTTTTGGAATTTCTACATATTCTCCATCAAAATACGCGTTGTTTGCATTTTTAAACATTAAAATCGTCCAATCCGTTCAGAAGTTATGACGTTTTAAAGATTCGCATGAAAATTCGAGCAGACATTTCTGGCCAGAAACTATATTTTCGGTAAGGAATTTTTTTCTCGAAAGTGTGTAGGATTTCGGGGGTATGTCTATTGACCAAAAGTGATTGTACTTGACCACTGAAACCGAAAATAATTTTTTTAGAACGAATTGACATGTTTTAATTTCGTCGAAAAATTTATCCAATTATTGAATTTTTTTCTCGAAATTGGTTAGGATTTCGAGGGTATGTCTGTTCACCAAAAATGATTGTAATCAACCCCCGGAACCAAAAATAATTTTTTTAGAACGATTTGAAATTTTTTTTTTCTCGTCGAAAAATTTAGGACCTATCCCTGTCGATTTTTCTTAAAACTTTGTTTTTCATTTTTAATAAATTTGTTTGACATTCTACAGAAAAGTTGTGTAATACTTTTTTGTAGGTACCCATGAGGTCTACTTCAGAAAAAAATTTCATCGAAATATATTCACTATTGTAGAAGTTATGGCTGATTGAAAATTGGACCATTTTTACGGGCTCTCCCTCATTTTGCGATGTCAAGGATCAACTTTTTGATCATTTTTGGAATTTCTACATATTCTCCATCAAAATACGCGTTGTTTGCATTTTTAAACATTAAAATCGTCCAATCCGTTCAGAAGTTATGACGTTTTAAAGATTCGCATGAAAATTCGAGCAGACATTTCTGGCCAGAAACTATATTTTCGGTAAGGAATTTTTTTCTCGAAAGTGTGTAGGATTTCGGGGGTATGTCTATTGACCAAAAGTGATTGTACTTGACCACTGAAACCGAAAATAATTTTTTTAGAACGAATTGACATGTTTTAATTTCGTCGAAAAATTTATCCAATTATTGAATTTTTTTCTCGAAATTGGTTAGGATTTCGAGGGTATGTCTGTTCACCAAAAATGATTGTAATCAACCCCCGGAACCAAAAATAATTTTTTTAGAACGATTTGAAATTTTTTTTTTCTCGTCGAAAAATTTAGGACCTATCCCTGTCGATTTTTCTTAAAACTTTGTTTTTCATTTTTAATAAATTTGTTTGACATTCTACAGAAAAGTTGTGTAATACTTTTTTGTAGGTACCCATGAGGTCTACTTCAGAAAAAAATTTCATCGAAATATATTCACTATTGTAGAAGTTATGGCTGATTGAAAATTGGACCATTTTTACGGGCTCTCCCTCATTTTGCAATGTCAAGGATCAACTTTTTGATCATTTTTGGAATTTCTACATATTCTCCATCAAAATACGCGTTGTTTGCATTTTTAAACATTAAAATCGTCCAATCCGTTCAGAAGTTATGACGTTTTAAAGATTCGCATGAAAATTCGAGCAGACATTTCTGGCCAGAAATTATATTTTCGGTAAGGAATTTTTTTCTCGAAATTGGTTAGGATTTCGGGGGTATGTCTATTGACCAAAAATGATTACAATTGACCCTTGCAACTAACAATAATTTTTTTAGAATGATTTGAAATGTTTTAATTTTGTCAAATAATTTATCCACTTTTTGAATTTTTTTTTCGAAAATGGTTAGGATTACGAAGGTATGTCTATTAATAAACAATGATTGTAATTGACCCCTGCAACTAAAAATAATTTTTCCAGAACGATTTGAAATTTTTTAATTTCGTCCTCGAAAATCTATAAGGTATAAACTCTGCTTGTATATCTTGTCTGCAATTAAACAGTTTAGACTAAAAAATAGTAAAAAGTAAAGAGTATAAAATAGAGAATAAACAGCAGACAGATAACAATCCCCCAGTGGTGCTCAACTTGAACTCCGCAATTATAATTGGTCACAATCTTCTCAAAAATAAACACAGACCTAAAAGAGAATATACAAATTAATAATCTTGATTATCAAGAAATTATTTTACCGCTCTGAATGCTTCGCCTTTCGGTGCCAGGTTTCAGAGTGATTCAGTTTGCGAAACGACATGGAAAATAATGAAAGACAGCAAAGCACCACATAGGTAAATCCCAGCAGTATATTTTGCTTTCACGAACTCTC